TCACCCACGAATAGCCAACAGCAAAGATTAATGCATTTTGATATTTAATATGAGCATTTTTAAATGCAGAAATGGCATCGTCTAAGTTGGTCGAAGTGAATGAATGCGACGTCTTTAATATCGTCCCCGCACACCCACGACTCGTTATAACACAAGCGCGGTACCCGCGCTTGTTCGCGCAATAGGCGAAGCGTGCGACATACGACTCTCGACACCCCCCAGCAAGTCCATGATAAATTAAGACGATTGGAGCGTCTTGTGGAAGATTTGGTTGATGGAGCCAATCCATTGCAAATTCCCCGCCGTCGGATGACTCGACAATTTCTCTTTCAAATGTTTGAGGAATCCCAAATTTGAGTCCAACGTAAAGAGTTTGTAAAGTGCCAGACCCCAAACTTTTTGGGAGTCGAAAAGGTTTTAAAGTAATCCGAGAAGAGATCTCTTCAGTCAGACGAGAGGGGGAAGAAACTATAATTGGAACATCATTTTTCATGTTTGGAATGGACTGAGTCGTTATAAAGATGATTAACGAAACTATAAATTGAGAAAAGCGGAAAAAGAGCAGAGAAAGTAACATATAGATCAGTATAAGTGATTGAATTCTTCGTAAAGAGTCGCGACGAATATAACTGAAAGTGGATAGGATAAGTACTGGGATGATTTTGAAGAGTGTTGTTTTGAAACAGCCATAGTCCATATCCACTTTTTTGACCTTAACGGGGTTTTCGAGTTCTTTTACTTCAAAATATCGAATTAAATAGTTTTATTATTCATTTCGATTAGTTAAATTAATAGTACAACAATTCTTCAAGATAAAAAGAGTACGAAACAATTCTATATCGCTTATTCAAGAATTGTTGTTGTTTTTCTTTTCAATTCACCACTTATAACTATATGTTATTAGTATTTTACTATTAGTTTTGGGTTTACAAAAAACTAAACAAACAGATTGCACTACAATCGAAATTGATTGTCGTATCATGCACTAAAAACAATCACATCTCTTGTGATGGTCACTTAGCGCAGTGGAAGCGCATCTCCCTCCGAAGGAGAAGGCCGCGGGTTCAACCCCCGCAGTGACCGTTTTATTTCCATTTTTTACTAATCAATTAAAAAACTCAAATTAGAAAAATTTTCATTATTTTTTCAGAATCTGATAAAATAATTTATCGCAATATTATAAATATAATAAATAAACCCATAACAATACTATATCTAAAAATAAAAACTTTTATCGCAACGTGAAAAAAATATGAGCAATTCAACTCAAACAAGTCATTTATGAATTACTTTACTAAGAAAGCGACAACAAGCACTGCGATTCCCACAATTGTTGTTGTGTAAATAATTAAAAGTGTTTTGTATTGCATCACTTGATCCCACCATCCGATGATAGTTGGTGTTTTACTCAGTAACACTTGTTTGTTACAGAATGGGTCATAGATTTGGTCAATAGATGAGTCCGAGCATCCATACAATAACGAGTTAATCGTTGATGTTTCTATCAAGTCGAACTTCCTTGTTGCGTTCTTGTTATATTCCCACAAATGATTAAGAAGAAAGTGTTCGCTACACTTGACTGGGCACTTCTGGAAGATGAAAGGAATTCCAATTGTGAAGACACTTTCCTTCGCCTGCGGTGTGACGTGGAAATGGATTTTGAAGGTCCCGATGATCCCCACTTGACTTCTTTTGAACATTACAAATCGATGCGTTCCATTCATCTTGCCTACAAACCCTGTTCGTGCTCTTTCCATTCTTTTGATATCATTTTCAGTGAAGTATGTGACATCAGGGAAACTGTAGACATAATAAATATCGCAGTGTTGGCATGACGCGTTCATGAACACGGGTTGTACGTCAATAGTATAATTAATAAAAGAGTTATTAATAGGTGGAACTATTTGTTGTAACAGTGACCCTTTTGGGTACTTCCTCACAACATGAGGGGTCGACAAGATTTGTCCGTTTTGGTCTGTTTTTCTGAGTCGTGTGAACTTACAGACTTCTTCTTTTGTTTGTACATCAGTGCCACAAGACGTTAAAAATGTTAAAAGTCTTTCATGGTCTTCATTTTTCTTTGGAGTGTTCAATTTGATTTTGTCGGTATACATTTCAGAGACTTCCGAATAGTTCAGCACTTTCGATTGAAAGTCAAAACTCAAGATCGTCTCGACATGAGTTGTTTCAAAAGTGTTATTTGTGATCCCCCATTCACGTTGAGCATATTGGAGTTGTGTCATCATATAATTGAAGAGTTCTTCAATTTTACTTTGACCGTGTAAGTACGTTCTGTTCATCGAGACAAAACTCTCGGTGATGTTATACGTCTCGTCAAAGGAAGGTTCACCTTCAACTTCTATATGATAGAAAGAGTTTTCTTGTATAGAGGAATTCAGAGTTGTGTTAAGAAGAGTCATATGAATCGGATCAAATACACTCCCATCATACTTCCCAAAATGCCCGATTTTTCTCCCTGTTAATTTCAAAAATAAATCCTCACAATATGTCGAGTTCAGACCATCGCCAATAACTGTGAATGTATTCGATTTGATTGCTGGAGAGTACTCTTTAACTCTATAATAATTGTAAGCTACTTGACTCGGGCGTTTCACAGATATCTCGATTTTATCTACCCCTTTCATTATGAGATGACTCGGCATTGGAAATCCACTCCCAAAATGAAAGTACATAAATTGTGATTCAGAAGTCATTTCACCACTTACAGTGTCATACTTCAGATGCATACTAGGCGATGATGGCAATATAGTAATATCTGTTTGATGGT